GTGCAAACCGAATCAGTGTGATGATGCTGCGATGCTTGAGAGAGAATTAAGGATACGTATCGGATGGCGCAGGAGAAGGAAAAATGCAAATGCGAGTGTCGTATGTTCGGTCGTTCGTGCAGGTCGTAACCATGTCCCGGTCCTGGTCAAGTCGTGTTCACGCCGTCTTGCGCCTCTTTGTCCGCGGCGCCTTCTGAAGCACATACTCGTCGTCCTCCCCGTCGCTGTCCACGATCTCCTCCCCGGCCGCCACGCGGAACATGCGCTTCTCCGTATTAACCAGGCGCAGTATGCGCAGGTTCGTCGTCAGAGAGCGGAAGAAGGCGCTCTGCGCAGTCTGCGGTCAGTAACAGCCCACCAGCCCAGCCCACGAAGCTTGCACGCACCTTGGACACACGCACTTTCCCCTCAGGCCCCGCGGCCTTCTCCTTGTCCAAGCGCTTCTTCTTCTCCCGGTACTACAACCACGCAAGCATAACACGTCAGCGCCATCGAAGCAATCCAGTCACCCAACTCACCTTGCGCTGCTCCTCCTTGTGCAGCTCTCCCAGCGCCTTGATCCACGCCTCCAAATGCGTCTCCAGCGTCCCCACCTTCGCCGCCTTCTTCTTCTTGTCCCCGCCCATCCGAAACTCCGCAAACTCGTCGTTGCGGTCCTCCTCCGCCGCAATCGCCTCATCATCCGAGTCGGGCACCGCATACGAGTTCACCGTTGCCGCCGAGCGCCTTGGACGCTTCCTCCCGCGCGAGGGCGACCCCGACCCGGGCGCGACGGCCTCGACCGGCTCCGCCTTAACACGCGGCGGCGTCGCGGGCACCGGCTGCCCCTCCGCGGCGGCCTTCCCCTTGCTGAGCTTCTTGAACAGAAACCTTGCCGCATCAGTGCCCGCGAGGTAGTCGTCTTCCGTCGCGTAGAACGGCGCGCCTGCCTTGATGCGCTCGTACAGGTGGAAGTCCTGTGCCGTGCATCGCGCATCAGGTTAGCAAAATATACAAGGGGCATCGGGCTAAGAATATGCTACGCACCACCGCCGCGCTCCCGAGCCGAGCCAGGGCTTGGAAGTGCTTGAGCGTGATAGGCACGGGCGCGGGCACCGGCTGCAGGTAGACGTTCAGGACCTGCCGAAATTCAGTTAGCATTGGCAACCAAGACTCGGAGCTAGCGCGCGCGCCGACAACATACCGAGTTATTCCCATTGATAATCGCGTGCATTAGGAACGTCGCCGTGATGCTGCTGGACGCACCAAACTCGGTCTTGATCCATTTGGCCACCGACTGGGCATCTGCGGCGGGGTGGACGTGTTAGTCCGAGGATACACCCAAAAAAGGTGGGTAAAAAAAATCACCCAGCGGCAGACGCGAGCTCTGGCCGCTCGTCGCACCGTATATCATTGGGATATAGCGCCGGCGGCCGCGCCCGCCGTGCATTTCGTCACGCCGGATCATCGCGCTGAGCGACTCGAGCCCAATACTACCCAACTCGTGTGCATGCAGGTGAGCCTTCACGGCGTTTGCATCTGCGACGCCGCTCCACTCGCTCTCCCCGCTAACGCTCTCCATCTCGACATCCTCACCAAAGTCATATCGATCCTCATCCTCCTCCTCGCCACCGCCCTCCCACTCGCTTTCGCTCCCCTCTTCTTCGCACACCACAATCCCGCCCATTTGCCGCGCCAGTCGCGCACGTCCAGGTTCGGCGCCCTCTTCCGGTTCCCCGAGGTCCTCCACCTTCACCTGATGTTCCCCGAGCACCGCCTGTATAATCCGCCCCCGCACTGTCGGATACGCGTCGCACAGCCGCTTCAGCGTCTTTCCCTTGCCCTCATGCGTCAAACAGCGCACCGCCACGTCCTCTGCGAGCGTGCGCAGCTCCTGTAGCGTCGCCTTCCGCGTCGCCGCGGGGTTCTCTTCGCTCGCCACGCCCTCGCGGCGGAGGTACTCCAGCACCGGTGTGTGCTTCTCGACGAACGCGCTTAGGAGCACGTCAGCCGCGTCCCTGAGTGTGAGCGGGGCGATGCGTAGGGCAGCAGGCGCGCGGGCATGGCGCTCACGGGGATGGGGGGGTCCGCGGCGAAGACGGTGAGAAGCATCGCGCGGCGGACGGTTGGGTCGATCGGTGCGGGCTGAACGCGGTGAGAAGAAAGGCTGATACGCGAGGAGGAAGCAAAAGCGACGGGGATGGGCGGCGGCGCGAGAAAGTCGTTGTAGAGCAACGTGAGAACCTGGGTCGTGGCTGAGTTCGTGATCGCGCGCGCCTTGACGAATAGCTGGTGGTGATGCGTTAGTTGCGCGTTTTTTGTTCTCGATAAAATATATGCACCTTCACAACGTCTTGTACAAGTTCTCTGTCGCCAGAAAAAATTTAGAATGGGCCAAAATGGATTTAGATTTACATACGGGAGGGGAAAGGCAAGTCACTTGTGCGGTCAAGTTGCTTAAGCGCGTTGTACGCGGCCTCGTTGGTCTTGGCCTCGAGGCAGACTTCGGCGGCGACGGTACGCGTGACGAACATGCTGCGGACGCGTAAGGATCTAAGTAATTAACTCTCACGGGCGGGACACGCACTCGGAATCGAGGCGACAGAGCTCGCGCACGTTCGCGACAATCTCTTCCGCGTGGGAGGCGGCGGGGGCCGACGACGATCGTTCAAACATTTTGCGAAATACAAAGTCGCGGTACTGAGCATTATGAGTAGCGGATCATGCGCGCCAAAAATGAAACGCTGTACCTTGGCGTCCATCTCAAAGCCGTTCGCGACGGCGTACGGCAACAAGCGGGGTTCAATGGCGAGAGCGAGCGGGAACTGGGCCATGAGGGGGTCGCGGGTGCAAAAGGGAATGAACTACCTGGCATATGGGTAAATAGTCAAATGGGCAAGACAGGGACGCACATGATATTTCTGAAAAATATCGCGAATGGTCTCCCATTTCACACTCTGTGCTTCGGCGGGAAACTTTGCCTCTTTTATAAAGGTGGCAAAGAGCGCGCCGTCGTCCTCATTCTGGGCAAAGTCAGTGTGCTTCAAAAAATCAAATCTCATTAAACCTGCCTTTCCACGCGGGATCTCGCCATACTTGTCGTTGGCGAGTTTGATAAAGTGGGTAAAGGTTGCGAGCGGGACCTGGCGGACCCAGGGATTCGAAGGCTTAATGAAGTGGGAGTGGGCGTGGAAAAAGTGGTGAAAAGCGACCTGGACGAGATAGCGCGAGAGATGGGCGCCGCTGGCAAGAAGGATCTAGGCGAGTGAGACAGGTGGCATTGACAGGGAGTAAAAAGGCTATACATCGAGAACACGGGGGGTAATGAGCTTTCCACGGGCGAGCGCAGCGTATATTGCCTCGATAGTACCATAGCGAGTGAGAAAGTAGTGTGCACGGACGTAGGGGTCTTGGGAGAAGAGGAGGAAACGGCGAGAAACCTGAGTAAGAGGAGTGGGTTCGGGCAATTGAAAGAAAACGGATTTGAGGATCTCATCCGGCAGAGAGTCAAGGGAGGACATGGTGGTAAAGAACTAAGCGTGGTTACCGCGAAAGAATACGAGTCGCTCATTTCGGCCCGGAGGTGTAGTGGTTCCCAATCGGGATATCCAATGCTGGGTGTTTCGTCTCAGCTGCCAATATGTTTCGTCTCTATGTAAAACCAGGTCAAGTTGCCAATCTAATAAAAAAGTTGCTTTGCTGGAATGTGATGTATTAAAGCTGGAACACCCGCAGACTCGGAGATTCTTCGTAGGCACCGTACATGTCGTACTTGGTTCAAGAGCTGAGTATAATTTTATTAGCGGGGTAGAACTACTACCGACTGTACCCACTCAATCAGACACTGTATTTGACCTAGAACGTCCTCCGATAATACCCACTCCATATCCTCCATGACAGCCGCCAGTCCCGCATTGCCAGCGACGGTGCAAATGCGTCAAAGTTGACTCCTTCTAGCTGCACGAGGAAGGTCGCCGCAGGAACCCCCGTCAGGAACACCGGCATCGCCGCCTCAGGCACTTTTCCACCAGTGCCCTTGAACACCTCCCGTGCAGTCAGCAGGTGGTCGTTCGCCAAGACCGCAAAGTCGTACACAGCGGCGTCCACCCCCGGCGCATTCCCACCGTGCCGGAACACCTCTTCCTGTTTCACCCCGTGCCGCGCACACACGTCCAGCGGAATCGGCAGCCGCCGCTGGCCTGCGTGGTGCGGCAGTGACCACAGCAGCGTTGCAAGCGTCTGCGTCGTCCCAGGTGCGACGCCGCGTGGGCCAGGTCTTCCGCACCGCCCAACCCCCGGAGTGCGAGCAACAAATACAGCACGCTCGAGGACACGCTCTCCGCGTGCGCCACCAGCGCGTCGCTCGTGGGATATGAGCTTGTTTTTAACTCTTCGTCCCGCGCGTCCACAATCCGTTTTAGGTGGTACGCCGGCAGACTCGCCGTCTGTGTCGCGCGGTGGAGCGCAAGCGCCACGGGGTGCCGCGGTGGCCGGTCCTGCTCACCCATCACCATCAGCCAGCAATTCCCGCAGTAGCAGCAGCCGTGTCTGCGCGACGCACAGCGTAGATGTCCCGCACCGCGTCCCGCCAGAACTGCATCCGCACCGCACCGATCGTCGGCACGCTCACATTATCCTGCACCATCGCCAGCTCTGTCTGGTGTTCCGGTTAAGTTGTAGTAGAAAATTGGCGAGGACATCGAGCCAAGCGACGCACAGAGAACGCCTTGATAGCAAAGTAGCCATCCTGCTGCCCCGCAGGCCAAAATTTGCTGATCAGGAACGACTCGTAGTCATGCTTGCGAACGAGTTCCCGGCAGTATGCTGCTGGGTCTGTTGGCGGTTCGGGCGCCGTAGAGTATCTTCTCGCGACGGCCGACGAGTAGCGGCGCGCGGCCCGTAAAGAGTGCATGAACAGAAAAGTTTAGGAATCACGTCGCAAGTGTGATCCGAATATTGGAAGGTTCCCAGAAATTCAATTGGATATCTATTTGATACTTTCCAAGGTATCCGATTTTGTCGGGCAAATAGTGTAGTTGGTTATCGCGCCCGCTTCGCATATGTTGTTACCACGTGACATGATTACGTAATCATGCGGGAGGTGCTGGGTTCAATTCCCAGTTTGTCCATTCTTTTTACTTTTATTTACCGCCAAGTGTTTTCTCGCGGAGCGAGGCCTGGAGGGACGTTGAATCAAGTCCAAGTATTAAGCAAGGGTCGTAGAATTAAATACCAAGTATTTTCTCGCCGAGCGAGGCTGTTTAACCCAAAATCTGGGTCAAATGGTCAGTGTTGGCCCTAAGGCCTAAGGCCTTAACCGCCTTAAGGCTTAGGAAGGCCTTAGAGTAAGCCTTAGAGCTCCAGGGAAATTTATTCCAGACCTTAGAGGCCTTAGGGCCCGGGCCGAACTTTCCCGTAGTGCTTAGCACTTGTAGATTTTGACTCTCTGCTTCCACCCATGGCTTCCACAGACTGGACTTCGAATCCCCTCGGCATGTACTATTTTCACCAATGTTCAAAGATGCAGAATAGCAGCAACCGGAAATTCTGAAAACCCACCAATGCAAATGCTGCGTTAAGCAAGATCCTAACCTTTCATGAAGAGCAGTGAGCCAATGGGTCCTGTTACTTCTCCTTGAAATGGGGAGTATTTTGCCAACATGGCAGCCCAGAAGGCGGAATTTAGATATGATGGAGTGTGGGAAATTTTGAACTTAAGGCTTTAAATGGAGGCCTTATCCTAACCCTTAGGCCTTAGTAACCCTTAGGGAGTTTCAAAACCGCTGTTAAGGCCTTAAGGGCCAACACTGCAAATGGTACCAAGCCATCAAAAAAGAACTTTGCAAAATCTTTGAAGAAAGAAAAAATGGTTAAAATGCACCAAGTCCGATACGGGTAACCACTTGGTTAAAGGTTTAAATGCGCCAAGTCGCATGGAAACGGACTTCAGCATTTTTTCGTCCAAAGCAACAGTTGAATTGCCACACTTGTCATGTTCTGAAAACGGTTAGTGTCAAGCTTCAAGTCCAGTCAATTCTCAACCAATTTGGAGATGGATTCATGCGAGCTCGCGTCCCAACGCGTCCTGCGGGCGCGTTCAGACACCACTCGTACGTCCAATTTTTGAGGTACATCAATAAATTCCCACACTCTATTTGTGCGAGATGCCATTGTGTTCCTCTGTGTTCCTCAGCACCTCAAACCGCGCTGGCCTTTTGTTTTCGCGATCTAAATGTCGGTTCGAAGATCTGGCTTGCAGAATGAGGTCCTCAGTCTCTATAGACGGTTGGAGGAGCTTCAAACCTCCGCCAAATGTCACTCAGCTCGTTATTTACAGTGCTCTCCGCATTCCACGTACCAAACCACCGCAGACGCGCGCAAAATGGGACCTGATGATCCGCTACACGTTCCGCAAGAACGCCGCAAGCGCTTCGCCGCGCGCCGTCAGTGTCATCGAGCATCTATTGCGCACCGGTACGCGCCAAGTGAGCACGTACGAAGATAAATCTGTCAAAGACTGCTGGGTATCCGCTGAGATGCGGGAGTGGAACGAAACACAAAGACACAGACGGACGCTTCCACACATCGAACACTGAGTGTAGATATTCCATGCATGCAATAAAATGATAATAGTGTTATGCTACATGCAAACGCTTTTTCACTTTTGAATCCCCCGGTTTCCCCTCCGCTTGCCGCTTCTTGTGCAGCGCGTGTGCTATTTTTTGCGCCTTGTTCCACCGCGGCTTCTTGATCTTTTCGCCGTCTTCAGGCTTTGGCTGCTTCACTTTAACTTTTCTTGGGGGCACCCCCTCCGCCTTGGCCTCGGCCAACTTGGTCATTCTCTCCCGCACCTTCACCCCTGCGCGTGCCGTGCGCGTGCGCCGTGGGACGAGTTTCTTCCGCAGTGCCTCCGTATGCAGCTTGTGCTGCTTCGTCGTCTCCTGGTCGACCCTGAACTTGAGTACCGCCGCGTCCTCCACCTCCTCGTGCTGCTTCTCCGCAAGCACGACCGCACCCTCGTAAGCGAGCCGGCGCTCGTTCATTATCGCCTTTATGCGCGCCATCGACTTGCGGCACTACAAAATGCAAGCTGCATCAGCGCAAAACACGGTGGGGGGCGGCGGAGGCGACCGACCTTGGCCGAGTTCACCGCGTTTTCACGGGGGAACCGATCCCGATGCAGGCCCATCCGCCGCATCTCCTCGCGCTGCGTCGCGAGCATGTTTGACTCGCGTAACAGCACGTACCAGAGCGTGTGCAGGTCCTTGAAGCTCTTCAGCCGCAACTCCGATGCCAACCATGACCGCCCTGACGATTAAAAACATAAGTGATTCAGCTGCGCGAAGGCGGGCAGCAGATGCTGACCCGTATGTTTGATTGTCGGGTCCGTGAAGGTTTCATACTGGTCATCGCCGCGGAGGTTGGGGTCCTCCTTCCGCCGGAAGAACCCGTACAGTCCGTGGTCGGATGATAGCTGCGGCGCGGATGGTGGTACGAAGGTAGAGGATTTTTCGTTGACTTCAGACGGAGCCGCAGAGCCTATGGCGAGAGGGGCAGAGCTGCTGCCAGCCAACGAAGAATTTCGGTGGTTGGCAGGCGCGTTCAGCTGAAACGGAGCTATAGGGTCAGCCGAAGACGCAGAGGACGCCGCCGTAGCTGAGAAATGGCGCAGACACCGCGTAGATGTCCATCGGCCAGCGCGTAAAGCAGAGCAGAGCATCACCGTCAAACTCAAACTCAAAATTGAAAATTCAGGCTTGTGTGTCCTTGTTTGTCAAGAGCCTGAGCGCGATTCGAGCATGCATCTTCCCGAGGAATTGATTTGTCTCGTCCTCGCGAAACTCTACTACAAAAACCCGCCATTCGGTACGCCCGATTACTCCACACTTTCGGCATGTTCTCTCCTCAATTCCCACTGGAGAAGTCCTTCGCAAACCCTTTTGTTTAGGCGCATCACCCTCGAATTGACCCCTGCATTTGCTCGATTCGCAGACACCCCGGGCAACCAACCTCTTCTCTCTCATGTCAGAACTCTTGCTATTGCTTTAGCGGAGATACCTGCTTCGCAGCCTGGTCGTGATGTCTGTCCGGTGTCGACGTTAGTCATGATTCTGGAACATTGCCCGCAGCTATACGAGCTCAGTATCAGCGCGCGCGGCCTTTTTTCACTCGATCCAGAGGGAATATCTGCTATAACCACCGTTTCGGTTTCAATCCGCTCGCTACGTTTGATGGAGTGCAGTGTACAATCCCCCATCCTCTACCAACTTCTCGCGCTCTTCCCGAGCGTGGAGTTCCTGACGCTCGACGTTGAATTGATCGCTTCGCCACCAAATACGACGCCCGCATTTCATTTATACGAACTCACACTCCAGCGCAACCCGCCATCGAATGTGCTCCGCTGGTTGCTTGCTTCCTCAAGGACCTCCCTCCGTATTTTAGAGCTGCGTGACCTGCCAGGCGCCCATACGCCCTCGGACCTCGCGATTTGTTGTCCACATATCGAGTCCCTTCGCCTCATGCGCTACAACGCTTACAGTGCCGCGATTTTACGACAGTGTACCAATCTATTGGAATTGGTGCTCTTGAATGTCCCTATGTTTGTGTCCTTCACGGAACTCCCGCCCTCTCTGGAGCATTTCGGGCTGCTGATCCAGACATTCACCGCGAGCGTCGATTTACGGCCAGTGGTTGCAGCGGTCGACACTCTGCCGCGGCTGAGACTTCTCAGTTTCATTGGAGATATGCAGGACGTTCAGCTCAAGTCCATATGCGATGCGAAAGGCATAGTTCTACAGACAACATCGCGCAAGTTTTGGATCGTGAGTTTCTAGTGCTAGTTTTGTTATAAAGATTGCTCAAATGCTCTGTAGAATGACGACTCGGTCAAGGCGGCGCGATTTCCCCGACGACGATCGGTTTCTAATTTCTATCTCATGAATTAAGCACACACTCCACGATAGAAATCTTTTATCTTTGTGGGATAGTAAATAGTCCCACGACCCTTTTGCAACTGTTGGACCACAACGAATTATCAAGATAGGCGCCTGGGCGTTTACAAGCAAAGTTTTCAATCTGCGCCCTCGTAACGCTTGATGATGATGAATTCTGGCGCGATCCCAACACTACCTCGAGCTCGAGTTACGCCAGAATGCGCACAAACAAAATGCCTATATTGCTGAAGGGGGAGTCCCCTCATGCTTGGTCGAAAGGTGCCCGACATGACTGGTCACTGAGATTCAGGTTTGGATTCCAATAGCACCTGGTATTTCGTAGAAATTTGGTTAGAGTACCAAGAAAAGATAGAAAAGGCTGCCAATCGTCGACGAGTGTTCAGGGGGTGGCACTGCAGCGGCAACTCAATGTCACCGGGTAACAGTGTGACCTCTCGTGTCTTGTGACACGGCCACTCAATTACACGACCTCCTCTTTTCATCGACCGCGTATACGCGCCGCAAAACCTGCGCTTTCTGCTACCCCCCTTCACTGACGCCGGATGGCATCTTTGAATAAGCTGGCCATTCGTGGCATCCGCTCGTTCGACGACAAGCAAATTTCAGTCATCGAGTTCTTCTCCCCAGTCACGGTCATTGTCGGGCACAATGGCAGCGGAAAGACAACGATCATCGAGTGCCTCAAGTATGCTACAACTGGAGACCAGCCCCCGAACACTCGCGGCGGTGCCTTCGTCCACGATCCCAAAATGGCCAACGAGAAGGAGGTCAAGGCGCAGGTCAAGCTTCGGTTCAATGCAGCTAATGGAACTCGGATGCTGGCTGTGCGAAATTTGAGTGTGACTGTTAAAAAGACTTCCGGGTTGACGATGAAAACTCTCGAAAGCATTCTTTCTCTCGCTGACAATAATTCTGACAAAGGTGGCAAGGTTGGTCTTCTCTGTTTGAATCCAGGAACACTGACATCGGATGAATTAGAGGGCCACGATATCGACCAAATGCGCCGAAATGGATGTAGAGATCCCCCAACTACTTGGTGTATCGAAGGCGGTTCTCGAGAACGTTATTTTTTGCCATCAAGAGGACTCATACTGGCCTCTGGCCGAGCCTGCAGCTTTGAAGAAAAAATTCGATGACATTTTTGAGGCTACAAAGTTAGTTTTTCTCCGGTAATA